CTTTTTCAACAAGTTTGCATCAAGTATCAAGAAAACAAGACTAGGCTCTGATACCACTGTTGGGTTTTGAGCATTCTTACACTCCTATGGTGTACATGCAACCCTAGAAACCTTGGATCTATGTTTTCTCTAAATACATGCAAATTTGATTTTCCAAGGTTTACTTCCTATCTAGCATATCATGGGGAACTTGTAATACAAAATTCAAGTAGAACAACATACTGTTTAGAAGCTTGGATTCCTTGATGACTTTGTGAGCCTAGCACCCCAAATGTGATGCCTCAAATGCTTCACACAACACCACATTTCTTGGAATAACCTTGAGAGAATTACACTATACTCAAAAATCGGCTAGCCCTCTTACTTGTTTGTAGTAGTCCCGATTTTGCTTACATAAGGAGTCTTTATATAGTTGTGGCACAAGTAGGGTTACACCATGTAAACCCTAATTGTCATGGCTTTCCATATTCCATGATCCATGGGTTTGTAACCTCCATGGACTATCCATGGAGCACCTTATGGGTTTTAACCCAATCCATACAAACCATGGATCATTAGCCCACTATACAAGAATAGATTATTTACACAATCCACCCCATATATTTAATTAGTCTCTCTTTGATCACTTAATTAATTCAAGATTAATTCTTTGATCAATACTAAATAAATACTATTATTAATATATTAGTACTTATAATATATTAATAAACCTTAAGTGTCATTTCTCTCATTTTGATCTATCCAAGTATTGCAATGCCATGCAACCCAAATGGACCATGCCGGGTCGGGTCAAGTACATACCAAATATGGTTATGGACTTAGACACTATATCCAACATACATAAGCTTAGCCCATCACTAATTAATGATGGATTATTAGCCCAACCTATATGTATCATTGATTTACACAATCATCCCCTGTATATTTAATTAGTCTCTTTTGATCACTAAATTAATTCCAAATTAATTTTTGATCAATACTATATAAATAATATTATTCCTTAATTAATACATTATAATATATCATTAAATCGTAAATAACCACTTTCTCAAATATCCATCCTATCAGATTGTTCTCGTGAATGCAACCCAAAATGGACCATGCCACTCTCGGGTCAAGTACATACCAATTATAGTTATTGGCTTAGACACCTAATCCAACAGTCTTCCACTTGGATAAGTCTAATAAATATAATTGTAGGTACGACTTAAAACCGACTAGAAATCATAGCTCTCAAAAGCCGCTGTCGAACTCTGACGTGCCATTTTAGATAAGGGATCATATATTCCTCCATTCTAGATATCGTATGAACTGAGACATGGATTATAATCATTCTCTTTGTTCATGTGTTGTTTCCCGATTTCTGATTTATGACGACCGACTAATTGAACAAATCAAATCAATCCAGGCTTGGTCAAGCGCTTAGGGTTTCGTCACTAAATCATCGAGGGGCCCACAGATATCGCTTTTAGCTCTCTTATGGTAAAAGTAATGGATAAACTTCGACTCATATGCTTGCTCTATTTACTCATCAAATCACACACAACAATATGTTTTATAACACCAAGTTACCGGTGCGTTTACATATCATCAATGTGCAACCGACTTGTAAACTGCAACTATATGCCTCTGTTTTAAGAATATAAGATATTATCGTCTCATAATCACTCGTGATGAAATCCATGAAGTGATTCAGATGAGCGTGGGTTTAATCCAATTCTCAAATCTTATTACAGGAGTATCATGAACACTGTAACAACCTTTGTTATGTCTAAACAGTTTAGACAGTCTACAGACGGATTCATGACAGTCTTACCTCAATACCTACTTCCAATGTATGAACGACTTTGGATAGTTTGAATAATCTTATTATTCGGGAAGTCAAAACATGCAAAGTGAAACACAAGAATAATCGAATTCAATATGGTCTCAAAACTTTTGAATATAAATAAAACACCTTTTATTTAATCACCATATTGATTACACATTATTCGTTGTATAATGTTTCGATTAATCAACTTAATACTTGATTTAAAATAATAGTTATCTCATGCTCCAAGCATGCACATTATGTTTACCTATGGTCCTTCTTTGTGAAATAGATTAATAGAATAGATTTCCAATGAAACTCATTTCACAATCCCAAATCTTTATCAAAAGTCTTAGATTCTAAACTATCATGCAATGATTCCTTTTGTAATGTCGAGGTACCAAAGTCACAGAGACTTTGCCAACGGTATTACAAAACTTTCCACTGGAGATTGATAACAAAACAATTCCAAGGAAAGTCTCAAATTCAAAGTACATTCCTTTGAACATCCTTCTTGCATAAAGATTTCTAACCTATACATAGATTCTTAATATCCAACTCCCATTATGAAAACATTTCCATATTTGCCATATGAAAATGCATTATTAATAGAATTATGTGTATTCATAATAATGTCAATATGGTCCATCCATTACTATACTTCCAACTGTCCTTAAGCAACCAATCCTTAGCGAACCTTAGATTGTCCTTGACATTTGTTTAACCACCTTAGTCATATCTTGTTCTAGTCATTTTTTTCCTCTTAATGCCCTAAGCATTTGGAAAATTAGAACATGGGAATATTATAGCATATGTGATCGATCCTATATCCGAAGCATATGGGACACGATTCATAATGTCAATCGATCCTATATCTGAAGCATATGGGACACGATTCATAATGTCTAACATAAAGACATGATACTTAACCAGTCTTTTGCTATAATATTGCCATATATAGAATTTCCAATGTTGAAATACTTAAACATGGTATTCATATATATCAACGACTAAGTTTGATTAATACTTCAATCTAAAATTTTAGATTCGAAATAAAGTATAAGTATCCTCTCCCTTACTATAGCGAAACAATTTTTTCAACCTTTGCAACTTTGGAAATTAGAACTTTGTTTCCTATTAATAGTATTGCTAACTTGCAACACTTACCATAATAATTATGCTCCCACTAGCATAACAATTATTTTTGTAAATCCCAAAATCTGGAACCAACAAGTGATCAACAAATAAACAAACCAAAATGATTAAGCACAAGAATGAGTAGAAAACAGAATTGATCCAAATTGCACACGTTTTATATATAGCTGAAAACGTCTGGTACAATGGACACTAAACACACTTGACCACAAACAACAACTGACAACTGACAAGAAAGGACACTATATTTAGTGAACAGTAAAAGCAAACTAGTTTGCTGCCGTAAACACCACATGGACCGAAAACGAAACGTTTTCGGTCCACCCAACCGAAAACCCACAAAATGCCTATACAAAGTGTAACAAAGCCTACAAAACATAAATGCCTAGCTCAAAGCAATAAAACATGTCCTAACAGTATCCCCCTTGGTTTGAGGCTAGCATGAATTCAATCCTTGTCAACTATAAGCACATCTGATTTTCCCATGACACCAGCCCACATGCGTTTGTTGATAATTTCAGCAACCATGCTCGTAAATTCTTTAGTTGCAACCTCCTAGAGCTCATTTTAGACCATAATTTGATTATTTGCCAAGGTACGGATGTCGCGCTCACCAAATGGAAGAAGATCCTTTGCTTCAATAAGGCAGATTGTACCGGTCGGGAATTTGATAACAACAGAGGTAGTGGCCTCATCAAAAACCCAAAATTCCATATCGTTCAGATGCCCATCAGGAAACCGTTGAACAATAGGAATTCGTTCCATCTGTTGAGTAGCAGGCCACATCACATTTTTAAAGGTTCGATTGGTGCTGGGATCAATTACTCCTATGAATCTCTTCACAATAGAATCAGAAGTCTTCATTACGTCAAAATTCTTGTTGACTTGATTCTCCGGAAAGAGTTTGAACTTTGTTCCGCGAGGATCACATGAAGGATTGTGGAAAGGAGCTTCAGATAGTTATGTAAGATCAACTTTAGTCCAAGAACTAAAGTCATTCTGATGAGAATAGTACTCCACGTTTCCACTCTTCCTCTTAACCACCCAGATATTTAATCCTTCGTGAAATCCCCTCACCGTAATACCCGATCGGTCTCCGTATTTGGATTTGAATCGCCGTCGCCCGAGCTCAGAAATGCTTAGTTGAGGCCGATCTCCACGGATGTTTTGATCAGAATTTTTCATGAAAAGCAATCCTCTTTTTCCTTGAGACTTGGCTTGTTTCTGAGCTTGCTTTAGAATTGCTCTTGGATCGGCTTGAGTAGGTTCTTTGTCAAATCGATCAACTATACGAGTTGTACGGGCAGGTTGAGAAATATCTTGAGAAAATTGAGTTGTTTGTACAGGGCCACCATAGGATGTCTCGGCCTCACTTGGCTCACCATCGGATGTTTTGAATTTCTCGCCAAATTCACTTATCAGCTTGCTCTTCAATTCGAAGTATCCGGCAGAAAGAGCGTCGAGATTGAGCTGCAGATCTAAAATTTGCTTTGATTTTTGATGATTTTCTTTTACAAGTTCAGACACTCTAATGTCTAGAGTTCCTATCAAAACAACTTTCTCAATGATCTTCTGATTTAAAAGTCCAATATCTGCTTTGAGCTTAGAAATTGTTGGATCAACTCCCCCTGAACTCCCTGCACCAATAGATATCCCTTTGCCTCGGGGTGTAGGGTCAATATCCTATTGAGCTAAGAACCTGGCAAGCCTCTCGGAGGCAACATCATGCGCAGGTTGAGGAATTGACGAGCCACCAAGAGCTGAAGAGCTCCCGGCTTCAAAGAAGGAATGGACAACATTGGGCCCTTCATTCAGTACTGGGCAATCCACATTAGCAGGTTGGGCTGGAGTAACGGCTGCAATAGATTGTTGAACATGCTGAGCTTGTTCCCTAATTAGCACTCCCGGCCTTGGATCAGCTTTTCTTCTTTTGAGTGGAGGATGGGAGGCTTGTGTCTCTTGTGGATTACTCTCAGATGGAATAATAGTTGGAGTAGCAACTGCTTGGGGAGGAATCCTCACAGTTGAATCCAAATCAGCAAAAAAAATTGTCCATCTGATCGGGTGTTTGTTGTGGAAGCTTGAGAATATTGGTTTCTCCCTGAGTCTCCGTTGGAGAAATTCCAACTTCATTGACATTATCAAAGAACGAACCAAGTTCATCATCATTCGGCCCGTAATCAATGTATACATCATCATCATCAAAACCTGATAACTCACCTTCTTGACCCATTTCAGCTCCATCATCATCCCTATTATTATCAAATCCTAGGGCGTTATCCCCTAGAACTATCTCATCATCATCTTCATCATCATCATTAACATTTATCATTGGAACATGCTCCTCTACAACAATTGCTACAGGAGGAGTATTGTCATCTTCCTGTTCAGAGACAATAACTTCATCTGAGTCTGAATCCTCACCAATTTTAGCAAAACAACCAAATTTCACTAAGGGCTTTGTTCCTTGAAACACATATTTTGAAGTTTTGCGGTTCTGCTTCATAAGGCCAAAAGTGCTAGGACCCAGAGACTTCAGATCCAAATTTTCTCCTCTTCCTTTCAATTTAGGATATTTAGCATTGATGATCATCTGTATGAACCTTGGGTACATTAAAAAAGTGTCATTTATCTTCCCTGGTAAATTATTCTTCATTTCATTCAACACATATCTTGAAAAATTGAAGTCAAGATCCATGACTAGTGTAAATTTTCTCCTCTTCCTTTCAATTTAGGATATTTAGCATTGATGATCATCTGTATGAACCTTGGGTACATTAAAAAAGTGTCATTTATCTTCCCTGGTAAATTATTCTTCATTTCATTCAACACATATCTTGAAAAATTGAAGTCAAGATCCATGACTAGTGTAGTGATGGCGCCGGTATTCAATAAAGAAATTTCATCTGCACCTGCTTTCCTGCCAGAGATGCACATAACAAAGCAATGGGCAAGAAAACGCCAGTATGGAGGTAGCAGCTTCTTTATTGTGGGAGGGAAGACTCCTTCATAACCCATCCTATCTAAGATCTCTTTGACCTGATCCATTGGAATTTCAGTTGGAAATCATGGTTGATCCTCAAGTCGAAGCACTTCTCGGATAATGTGTTCAGGCACCAAAATCTTTCTCTCTTAGATAAAGGATTCCACTTTACCTTCTCCATTTTCTCATTCTTTGTTAACTGAAGCCTTGTCCCAAAACTGCCTTACTAACTCCTGATAGATAATTGGATTTGTTTGGAAGGCATGAGCAAGTTTGCAGTTTTTAAGTCCATGAACCATAGACCTAAACTCTTGATGCGCCATTGGAGGATCTGACAAGCACGTAGCAATGTTGTGGTTTTCCGAAAACTTTAGATCTGCCATTTATCTGCATCAAACAAACCAAGTGAGAAAATTTAAAAAACTAAACAATTTAGATTAATTTTCTCAAATATAGGTTGACTAAGGCTCCAATTTTAATTTTATCTCGGTCAAAATGAGTTAATTTAGCGTTTACAGCCGAAAACAATAATCAAAGTCAAAATTTGGGTTTTCGGCCACAAACGAGTTTTTGGTCGAAAAAGCGTTTTCGGCCGCAAACGCCTATTTCCAGATTTTAACGAAGAACACCGTCGAAAATGCGATTTTGCCTCTAAATCCTGCAAAAAAAAGTCGATTTGAGTGAGAAAAAGCTGTATGGTGGTCGCCAAGTCATTACCTACAAGAATCGTGAATCAATTTCTGATTAAAACAACAAACAGATGATGAATCGGTGATAGTGAGCAAGAACTCGAGAGAGAAAATGAGAGGGGTTTTCCGCCGCAAATGATAAAGTAAGGATTATCAACCGAAAATCCCCCTTTTAAACCCGAAAATCCATTCTCGGCCCAACACCCATAAACAAATGGACTCTAAACGGAAACCTTTAAGATAAAAACCAATAAATCCAAAATTAATTAAGAATGAAAACATTTTGAAGACATAAAATTAAAAATTAAAAATAAAATAAAATAAAATAAAAATAAATTCTAAAAACTTAAATTCAAAAAAAAAAACTTAAATTCAAACCATTTTTTTTAATTTTTAGAAAAAAATAAAATAAAAATAAAATAAAAAATAAAATAAACTAGCACTAATTTCTTTTCACAATTACGAATTTTGATATTTTTGGGATCAAAGTTTTAAGACAGTCTTAACCTGTTTTTCAGTATCTTCAACTTCATGAATAGATACAGTCAATCGCCGGTATTGTGGTCCACTTAAATACGAAAGATATTGACAAAATGGACAAATTATAAGTGACAAAACCTTGCACCTATATTCCTAAATGGGCATTTAGCTGACGAAGACCAAAGATATTATTTTCCACTTAAATTCAACAGCGAGATCTACAGACAACCTTTTAAGTAGTTCAATTTTAGATGTACTAGAACGTATTCCCCACTTCCTGACATACCTTGGTAATCAAGAACATCCAAAGAACTCTTTACTTTAGGCGAGTAGACAATCATTAAGAAAGAAATCAGAAGTAGAAGCGCATATGTTGTATACCTTGGTCAGATCTCTTCCAATCATGCAGAGGGATAACATATGACTAACTGAAATAGAGGGATTGAGAGGTAGAATGTTGCATATGATGTGTTCCAGGTCGGATCATTTCCAATCACGCAAAGGAGACAACATATGACTAATAGATAGAAAGAATAACATAGAGAAGAAGATGCATAGAGATAGAGTTGCATATGTTGCATTCCACGTCGGATCTCTTCCAATCACACAGAGGAAGCGACATATGACTGACAGATAGAAAGCAAGAAAATAATTTCCTACAGACCTACTTTATCAGAACCCCCCAGTCACCCTATCAGTACAAGAATTAAGGACATGAGTCCATACATCGAGGAAATGTTAAGCCACAATTCTAGATACATGAGTCTTTTAGTGTATCCCGCAGGTTCCCATGTTTATATCACTGCTCAATCTACCCAAGCGTCGTATTGTCAGTCCAAACGAAACTATCTAAGTTCACATTATCAAGTCCAGTCAAATCCTTCGTGCCTACCAGCGCATTAAGCACAGAGTCTAGACAATTCATATTCAGTACTTTACACAAGTTAACACTGCATGTTATCACTTTCTCTTGATATCACTTCCCAAATGATCACCTACAAACAAGCACCATAAGAACATATTTTTGGATTTTTTTTGTTTTATAATTTTTTTTTTATTTCTCCCCCTAAATTTGTGCATGTGAGAGAAAGTTAATGAAAATGAAAATAAAATGCACAAATTTAAACTAAGCTAAAAAATTAGTCTTCAAAACGGATCATTTTGAGAAAGCTCACAAGCACATCGAATCGAGCTTTGTTGAAGGGTTTGGTAAAAAAAAAATCTGCCACATTATTATCAGTGTGGATTTGTTCCAAACGAATGAGCGAACGCTCATAACAATCTCGAATAAAATGAACTTTGATGTCGATGTGCTTGGTTTTGGAATGTTGGACTGGATTTTTAGCAATTTGAATGGGGGATCATTATCACAGAAGATGGGAGTGTCAAGAAAATTCAAACCATAATCCAGAAGTTGATGTTGAATCCAGATGACTTGGGAGGCAGAGGCAGAGGCAGCAACGTATTCAGCCTCAGCCGTTGAGGTTGACACAGTTTGTTGTTTCTTACACTGCCATGACACCAACCAGCCTCCTAGAAGTTGGCACCCACCCGATGTTGATTTCCTGTCAAGCTCACATCCTCCATAGTTACTATCAGCAAATGCATATAAATCGAAATCCGGATTTTTAGGATACCAAAGACCCAATTTAGGGCTACCTTTAAGATACCTAAAAATTCTTTTGATAGCAATTAAATGAGAAAGTTTAGGATTACCCTGATAACGGGCGCATTGACAGATTGCAAACATGATGTCGGGTCTGCTGGCCGTCAGATACATCAGGGAACTAATCATCGAGCGGTACTCTGTTTGATCAATGGATTCCCCTTCAGGGTCAGGAGTCAACAGCGGTCTTTTAGCCATTGGGGTCAAAGCGATCTTTGAATCTTTAAATCCAAACTTTTAGCCTAGGAACATGGTCATTTCTCCCAGCGAACTCATCTCAAATCTCTTCTTCATAATAGCCTCGAATTCTTTACATAGCTCTGGACTTGTCGACCCAAAAATGATATCATCAACATATTCTGTACAAGAATTAAGTCGGCATCCACATGCTTGATGAATAAGGTCTGATCAATCATTCCCCGTGTATATCCATGCTCAAGAAAATGCTCAGTGAGGGTAGCCTACCAGGCTTTAGGAGCCTGATGTAACCCATACAGAGCCTTGTCCAACTTGTAAACATTATTCAGAAACTTTGAATTGACGAACCCAGGAGGTTGATCAACATAAATTTCTTCTTTTACAGCGCCGTACAAGAAAGCGGTATTGACATCCATTTGATAGACTGTAAAGCCCATGTATGAAGCATATTCTAGGAATATTCGAATGGCTTCCAAGCGAGCTACCGGTGCTTATACTTCTGTGTAGTCAAGACCCTCTATTTTCCTGAATCCACGAACGACCTATCGAGCTTTGTTGCGCACAATCACCCCGAAATCGTCTTGCTTGATTATGAACACCCAGCGCGTGTCTAAAGACTGCTTGCCTTTTGGTAACTCAACCAGCTTCCAAACTCCCAATTTTTCAAATTGATTTAACTCTTCGTGCATCGCATCAACCCAACTTGGTTCATTTAACGCCATTGCCACACTCTTGGGCTCCATCTGAGAGATAAAGCAAGAGTAGATACATGAATTGACATCTCCACTCTGAGTCCTTGTTTTAACGCCTTCTCCTAGAGGGTTGATGACATTTTCGATCGGATGATCGCATTGAATTCTAGTTGGGATCTCATGGATGATGTCATTGATTGTGACAGGAAGATTGTTGATGTTGATAAAACTGTCGTCTACTGAATCATTCGCCTCAGACGATCTAGGACCGTGAGAGGTACTCGCCATGTATTCGTTTGAAATAGGTTCAGGGAAGAGAAGATTCATGAACGATTGAGTAGCAGCGGAAGAATCCCTTGTAATGATTTCTCTTTCTTCAGGTGAAAGGGGATCAACATCAGCATCAGAATAGGTTCTTTGATTTGGGGAAAAAGAGGAGGTACTTGGAACAGAAGAATCCACTAGAAGAGACTCATGAGTCACCAGGGGTGGTCTGTAAACAACTTCTTCTTCTTCATCGTCAACAACAGCTTTTGTACCTGAGCAAGAACCTGAAACATTATCTGAAAACACATTAAATGATTTAAATAATAATGCATAATCAAATAACCAGTCAGGTCCAACTCGTGCATCTGTCTCATTCTCTTCCAGCCATCACACATCAAAATACTCCACAATCTGCTTGGTGGTCTCGTTCTATAATCGGTAAGCTGTGCGTGCGACATATCCCACAAAATAGCAGTCATCAGCCTTTGAGTTGAACTTGGGGTTGGACTCCAAGTGAAGGAGGGTGCAAGGACATCCAAAGATTCTGAAGTGTGCAACTGAGGGCTTGTGATTATATAAGATCTCATACGGGGTCTTCATCTGAGATTTGTTGAGCAG